AGAAGACATAACAGGAGAGGTATTTGAAAATGTTTCATCAGGATGGTGCACCAGCTCATTATGCCACGACAACGCGTAATTTTCTAAACCAAACATTTATTAATAAATGGATTGGTAGAAGAGGTCAAATTGAATGGCCACCAAGATCTCCAGATTTAACGCCACTAGATTTCTTTTACTGGGGTTATCTAAAAAGCAAGGTCTACGAAACAAAACCAGCGAATCTTGACGAATTAAAGGCTCGAATTGTTGAAGTGTCGAATTTAATTACGCCAGAAATGCTTCAAAACGTAAGGGAGAGTACAATCGATTAGCACACTGTCAAGAGGTTAATGGATATCAATTTGAGCATTTGTTGCATTAATTATTGCACGCAAAGTGAGAGGCAAGGGGACTCACTTAAATTAAGCACCCCGAAGAGATGTAAATCTGACCGTGCAACCTCCACGTGGTACATCTCGGGTAATGCTGATGCCGGCAGTAGTTCCGACTCATATTACCATTATAAGATTTTACTACACCATCAAGATAGATTTTTTGAAAAATCGTTTCACGTGTTCCGGTGATTATCGAAACACTAAACTTTTTTAATGTTTCTGACTAAAAAATTTTCAAAATTGCATTTTCCCGCCAAAAGTGAACGCAGCGCCCTCTATGCGGAGTGTTTTGGATTCGTCTTGAGAAGACCTTTCAAATGAGCCCCCACTCGACCTATGTTGCCATTTAAGATTTTCGACCCCCCTCGTGCCCCACGTGCCCCCTTAGGGGTGGGGGGTCTTAACCCCCCTCAAAAGATAGATTTTTTGAAAAATCGTTTCACGTGTTTCAGCGTTTTTTTTTAAATACCGATGGTTTTCGAAATATTTGACCGTTCCGGGACTTTTTGCCATCACTGAATATACGGATATATTACGGATATCGATACGGCAGCGTTTTACGTTATTTAAAAAAAAAAAGAAAGAGATACGTATTAAAACTATGTAGGAAATCTTTATTTGCATTTCTTCCGATTTTCTAGCTATATTATTAAGTAATATACTCTTGCTGACAAAAATTAAATTTGCATTTTACTAAAAGAGCTCGCTAAGCAATCTCACACGTAACTGCACGCGACGCGCACTTTATTATCATGGAGAAAATATTTTGATCGAAAAAGACAATTAAGCACGTGGAAAGGCTTCTTGGGATCCTAAATGCGAAGTGCAAGTATAAAAAGATTAGTACATGTATTGAAACATGTATTAATCTTATATAACTTTACTAATGTAAAACTAATATATGCATTTTAATTTTTTGTATATAAAGTTAAGATCATATATGGCGTCCATACGTCGCGTTAACTCCTCACGAAAAACATTTACATCCATTTATTGATATTTGGATCTTATAAAACCGGGATTCTTACGTATTTCTAAAATTTAACGAACAATTTGCTCGTATTATTTAAACGTAAAAATATAAATTGCGCGGGGCTAAAATGCTATCTTGTATAGTTCTAAGCTTTAAAAATGCTTCATAAATGCGCAATGTCTGCCACCCTCTCTCCCTTTGCCAAAACTGTTTACAGAATTTTCCCCTTTTTCTGTTACTCTCTTACTGTTCATACATTGATTATTTCCTTTCAATTACCATCGCACAAATACATTGATTGAGAAGGATAACAACAAAGCAGCGATACACGGCGAACTTATTTTTTTTTTATCTTGATTTATTCAATATGTGTTTTCTTATAAAGTGACGTCCTACTAAATAAAAGTAAATGAAAAAATCACCAAACATAATAGTTAATATGTCCATTAAAATTCTTCTTCTCGTTAAGGCAACTAATTTGTTTTAGTCTCATTTTACATGTCTAGAGTATATATATATATATATTTATATATTTATATATTTTTATATTTGTATATTTATAAAGTATATGTAAAACACTAATATATGATTATTTTTATTTTTGTTATACAAGCCTTATATTAATTAGAATATAGTGTATATATATGTATATCATTTGTATATTCCTATTCTTGTAATAAAATTGATTATTATTTTTGAATCTAGAGATAATAAATATATATCTAACGTGTATTGTTAGTACAAGAGAAGTGTGTGCAGAGGGTGGCAGCAGGGTGCGCATTTGGGAGTGCTATTGTTTCAAGGACTCTCCAGTCCCTCATCTTTATACCGTCTCACATGGTGACATTCAACTGTATTGCTTTAGCGTCCACGGAACATGCTTGCTGTTGCTGCGTCTGTTGCTGCTGCTGCTGCTGTTGCTGCTGCTGTTGCTGCTGCTGCTGCACTTGTTGTTGCACCTGCTGTACCTGCTGCTGTATTGCCTGTAGTTGAATCGTTTTCGTATCGACAGAACACGTTTGCTGTGGTTGCTGTTGCTGCTGTACTTGTTGCACTTGCTGTTGCTGTTGTTGCTGCTGCTGTTGAACTTGTTGTTGCTGTTGCGCTTGCTGTTGCACTTGCTGTTGTTGTTGCTGCTGCTGTTGCTGCTGTTGCGCTTGTTGAGCTGCAGCTTGGGCAGCCTGCCTTTGTTGTTGCCTGAGTATACTTGGTGGTGGATCCATATGCTGACGTTGATGTAGTAACAAATGATTTTTTTGGAAGAAAGCTTTGCCGCATTTATCGCATATGTGTGATCTTATATGGCAACTGCCGTCTGTGTGACGTCGTTGATGTTGTGACAAGCCGTGTTTTTGTGCGAAACCACGGCCGCAATCAGGACAAATGTGTGGCTTAGGTTTTGGTCCTGTACCTACTGGGGGCGATGTTTGTGTCGCACCATGCATATGACTCACACCTGGCGTTCCTATCGGCCCGTTCATCTAAAAATACATTATTTATAATTTGCATATTTCACATTTTAAACACAGATTGTTACAATTATTAATTGAGATACTGAGGTATCTTTAATGTTAAAAATAAAAAAATATAAATTGCCAAATTTCATTATTTGAAGATATTTTTAAGTATTATATTGGTATATAGTGATGATTACTTGATGTGCTCCTGGAGTGTTCGGGGTAAGAAAATGTGCTGGAGTTTGCTGAAAGGCAGCTGCTAACCCACAAAGGTCCGTTACAAGTGTTCGATCGCCAGTATGTAACCTTTGGTGCAAATTTAGAGCTTCTCGATTTGGGAACTCCAGCCCACATTCTCTGAAATAATAATCATTTATTAAGAATCGTTTGTTTTACTAGAAAGAAAATGACCGTACTTATAATATCACAGAATGAATATATATTTGAATTATATAATTTTTTTTCACCTATTTCTAACACACTAATAAAGAGAGCTAGATATTTATCTCTTACAATTTGTCAAACATATAAAAATTTTGAAAGATGTTTTGTTATAAGCAATATTAATATATATTACATAAATCATGTTTACATGTACTAAACTTTTTCTGATAGCTTAAATTCTTAACATGAAATCATAAATAAAGGAAAATTGGATTCAATTCAATTTGTCTTAATATCATATTTTATATCACAATTATGTTCAATAATTCAATTTTATAACATTATATATTTTGAATTCGACATATGCATTGTCAAATTTGTCTCAATATACATTTTATATGTATATACACATTTCACAGTATACGTAATTATTACTAAAAAAATACTATGAAATCGCTGAACACAGACTCTAGAAAAGTTTATAACATAGATTCTTATAAAGTTTATAACAATTTCACACAGCATACTCTCAATAGCAACTAGAGTTGTATTACGATGTAAGATGAGAAGAATTATCTTAAGATAAAATTAAAAAATTACTACAAGTTATATACGATGTCTCACCTGCATGTGAGAGATTTTTCATCCGTATTTGCATTATTATTGTGAATCTTAGAATGAGCGACCAGGTCTGCTTTCCGAGGGAATGCTTCTCCACAAACGGTACAAGCGAAAGGTGTCTCGCCTGTATGTAAACGCATATGAGCTAAAAGTGTTCTCTTCTGCAGAAATTCCTTTCCACAGACAGTACACGAATGTGGAACTCTGCCATGTAGCCGACCATGATTAACTAGCTCAAACTTCCTTTGAAAAGTTGCACCGCAATCGTGGCAAACAAATGGATGTAAACTGCCATGGAAGCGTGAATGCATAGTAAGATGATCCTTTTGCGAAAACGACTCCCCGCACTCTTCGCAAACGTAAGGTCTTTCTCCCGAGTGGAACTTACTGTGCGTCACTAGATGACGCTTTAGAGGAAATGCTCTTCCGCATTCTTGACAGACAAACGGCCGTTCCCGCGTATGCACGCGAGTATGTGTTACAAGATGATGTTTGAGAGTGAACGATTTTTTACATTCGCGACATTGATACGGTCTTTCGGCGCTATGCAATAGTAGATGCGTATGAAGACAATGTTTGTGCGCAAAACTCTTGCCACAATGAACGCAAATGTGCGGTCGTTCTCCAGTGTGAACTCTGGCGTGTGTCGTAAGATGATGCTTGAGAAGAAAGGATTTGCCACATTCTGAACAAGAATACGGTCGTTCTTTCGGTACACGGACCTGACTCCCCATATCCTGTTGCTGTTTGACTTTCGTCTCAATTTGCGTAGTATTCACATGAGTCAAAACGTGCCCAAAATGGGCAGTATTGTCTGTCTGACTGGTCGCAACGTTATTCGCTGCATTAGCTTGATTAGACGCAGCGGCTGCTCTCTTCATTAATATCTCATTGCACTCTTCTGCCGTAAGCTGCAACGGTCCAAGCGGTGTCATGAAGTGCTTACTCATGGCATGCTTGTCGGCTGTAGTAAAAACTAAGGTGTTTGAGAATAAGGAAGGTGGAGGTGTGGGATGTGCTGCATCGCAATTACATCCCCCTTTGTCACAGGTTAATGAAAATACATCGTGATGCTTTTTAGTACGGACGTGAGTGCCGTGGGTTGTTTGATTATGCGCTCCACCCGTATGGCCATGATGTGTAGTAGGGGTTTGCTGACAACTCTCATTCATCGTAAACATTTGCCGACGATGAGTGGTAGTGGCAACCTTGGCTGGCTTAATGTCGACTTGTATCTTTTGACTGGAACCTTGATCCTGATTATTGTTGACAGCGTAACTGATATTGGTGGCGAGTTCACTCTGGGCATTCTCTCGGGTTTCTGTCCCTGGCCCACCAAAGGACCAAGCGTACCCGAATCCTGCTCCTGCATTTCCAGGAGTGGTACACATGGTCGTGAAGCTATTGATAGTTGGGTGAGTCTGGCTGGACGCGGCACTCGTGCGTTGTTCCGTGTCTTCTGTCAATGCATTTTCCGCGCCAGCCCTTTCCACTATAACAAATTGATCGGTGGGAAATATTTTGAGAGGTTCCAAGTAAACGTACCCGTCACGCTCCAGTATCTCGGCCTTGGAGGTAAAACATGAGAATCATATCTATGCCAAGAACGGCCGTAGAAGAGGATGATTGAACTGGACGCTTGAACTGGATTCGGTAGCTGTGGCTATAGCTCCGGTTCCGGCTCCGGCTCGGCGGGCTACATACACAACAAGGCTGTAAAGTGATTAATCTCTACAGTTTGAGGATGCAATATATTCCCGAGGCGCTTACTCCGTTCTCGGGGGACATTAATCGAGACCGGGCCTGTGCGAGACTAGTCAAGAAGCCGCAGTCAGCCGTACCTGCCGTACGTCGGCAATATTGGACCAAGGCGGCCGTAAACTCTTTTCAAAACGTGTTTCCGCCGATCTACGAGTTGTTTTCGTAGCGTTGTCGCGCCACTGTACAGCAATAGAAGGAAGCACGCCGCACGGCTCTTCTATGTGTTGGAGACCATAAGAAGGTTTCCTCGTTTTCGGGCCCGCGGCCACGGCGTCCACGGGTCTTGAAAGACAACCTCCACCTTCCTCCCGCGGCGCTCCCACACTCTCACTCGTGCTTCACGCACTTTTTCCACCTTTCGCGCTCACGGGACTACGTTTTCACTTGAACGCGCGCACAGCCGACGGTCATTAATTTTACATAATTGCATATTTTATTGTCCATACAAACTAGCCTCACATATCGGCCATTTTATTTGTAAACTACCAAAAAACAATGTTGCCAATGTACGCGTGATTTTGGAGGGAGCGGAGTCACCGATAGCGTCGCCGAGCGCTTCCGTGATGGCAGCACTTTTCCTTGTTTGCCAATTATGCCGACGGCGCGACCATTTTTCCGCCATATTCGAACGCAACTTCTTATAAACCTTCCCGCTTACATTTTATTTTATCGCTATCTTTAGCTATTTTTCTTATTATTTTTCTCTGAATTTTTGTAACTTTCATATAAATATGTATCAATAGACTACCAATTATATTCTTCCTTATTTCCGGAATTATCACTTTTCTATATAATGTAAACAAACTATATATGCACCTACACGATACTAGTACGCATGTCCAAAATCGGACATGCGAAACATCTTATATTGTATTATCATTAAAACATCTTAATAACATCTTTAAAATGTCTTATGGCGTAATTTTGGATGCATATTGTCTAGAAATAGACATAATTCCTTCTCTTTCTCTTTTTCTCGATCTTTTTTTTTATTTTTTAAACAGGTGCGCTATAAATACTATGCATATATTTGCATCATGCAGTTACATTTTTTTAAATAACTATAATATTGGGTCATCTAAAAAGTATCCGCGGTTTTTTGTCACTAGATGTGTGTTGATGATCATATATCTAGTAACAAAATACCGCGGATACTTTTTAGATGACCCAATATATTGTAAATTATATATTTTGTGTATATAAAAATATTGCGCGAATAATATAATTGAAATGAAAAGTGAATATGTAAAACATATTTGAGTTTGATTATCTTCGATTAAAAAAATTTTGATAAAAAAACAGACAACGCGATATTTGATTGAGAGATTTTGTGGGGAAATATTTATCGTACAAAAATTTATTTTTTACAACAAATTTTTTCTAGACTAATAAATTTTTATTGAATTTTGATACGTATGACTTTAAAACAAAATTAATAAATTTTTAATATTTAAAACAGATATAACCTGTCAAATTTTAAATAAATAATAAATCTTATTTTTTATCTTTATCTTATTTAACAGGAAACATTTTTTAATTTATCCTTTGATAATAAGAGACGCAAAATGTTAAGTATAAGTTTACTAAATAAATTTATTAAATAAATTTGTTGAAAAAAATTTTAACATCCGTTTAATCAATTTGAAGGAATAAAATTTTAAATAAATAATAAATCTCCTTATTTTTTATCTTTATCTTATTTAACAGGAAACATTTTTTAATTTATCCTTTGATAATAAGAGACGCAAAATGTTAAGTATAAGTTTACTAAATAAATTTATTAAATAAATTTGTTGAAAAAAATTTTAATATCCGTTTAATCAAATTTGAAATAGGAATAATGAGAAAGTTTGCCCGTTAACATAGTCCAGTGTAGTGTGTTATACGTCGTGCCAATGAATAATTTTGGCGGTAGAATACGAGTTGGTTCACGATCAATAGGTGATCAATATCAAAGATAGACGTCAGCGTTAGCGATTACGCCGATCGTTTTCGTCATTTACAGCCAGTATGCGACGAATTATGAGACGTAGCGGTCTCTAGGTGATACGAGGACAGAAACAGTTTCATCGGACGGCTGGTCATCGCCGGCGCTAGTAGCGCGAACTCAGCAACTGATAAGCAAGCCTGCTCGTTAATGGTCCGGCATCATAGCTTGGCAAAAAGCCAATATATGCCGTTAGAATGAGAATCTTATATAGTTTACATTCTCATTCTCCCATATTCTAACTTCTACCTTTGTACATTAACATGGACATACTCGTATATCTCGCAATTGATAAATATATTAGGTGTTGGAATTAATTCGTAGCGTTTT